TTTTTTTCTTTTTTATTTGATTGTACGTTAGTTTGTGATTAAACTTATTTTTAAAAACGCACAATCAAATAAAAAAGAAAAAAACAAAACATTGAGCAATTTCGAACCTCAGACCTCTAGGTTGAATGCAATTTGACGCCTACAGACTAAACCAGTGCACCACCAGGTCAAAACTTTCGACTCTTTTTGACGCCATTTTTGTTGCCTTTGCGCAGAGCTTTGATGTTACATGTTGGGTACTGTTCAAAAGGGTTTGTCAAGAAGAATCTAAAAACGCATTCAATTTTCGGTTGAATTTTTTGCTAATTTTGCGGTTTTTCTTATAATAATTTTTAAAAATACTAAATAGTTGGTTTTCAAGGTTCTGGTTCATCTCAGCTGAAGGGACAGGATGCACGGGAGGCCAAAATGGAAGTTGATGTGCCTTCCATTGTTTCACCACCTGGTAAAATAATAAAAATAGTGTGTAGCTTTTTTGTTTAGTAATATTTTTTGCTCATTAGTACCCATGAAGTCAACTGTAGTACCTGAAGGAGCAACTGTACCGTTTAGCCAGCAACAGCGAAAAAGTAAAAAACATGTCTACTATATTGTTGAGCACATTTTTAATTTGTATACTTTTTTAGGAACAATTGGAGCGCAGTCGGACATTCAACAAAAGAAACCGGCAGTCGAAAACAAATCTGTAACGTACAGGGTTTGTCAGCAAAATCTAAACACCAACCAACTTTTGCCGGCCAAACAACCTCAAATTGTGACCTCTTCAAGCAAATCTGTTTTGACTGAAGTACGAGTCATAATGTCGTGCCACCACGTGCTTTATACTATGATGACAGATGAAAAAACATTAACGGAAACTCTGAGTTTATATCGTTTAATCTTAGAAAAAATCCGAAAAGTTTCTTCATTTCCTGAGCTAAAAGCATTTGTTTACTCAATGTTTACAAAAACAACAGACAAATCTCTTTTTGAATTTTTATGTTGTCTTTTTTACATTGGGTTTACTGCAGACGTTAAAGAAAACCAACGACTCGATGCTCATGCCAAGTTAGCAAATTCGATGTATGAGTATGAAAAAACTAATAGCAGATGTTCCGAAAAGCTTTATAACCGAATTGCTGCTTATTGGCATGCAAATATCAAAGTTTTTTTCGAAAAAGTTTGCCATGGCTTGTCTGAAAAACAAGCTCATTTTTCCGAACACGCAATGATCACATTTGTTTCAAACATGATTCAGAATTGCAACGGAAATCAAGGAAATCAGTTTGATGAAATTTTGAAAAACATGAGTTTAGACCGAGAGTCAATTGTCAAAATTGGCTGTGCTCTGCTGGTCGATTATCATCAAACAAACACCAACATTACTTCATTTACTCAAATTCCTAGAGACAATTTAACTGTGGATCCAGCGAAAGCAAAAGATTACGTGCAGTAAGAATTTAAATGACAAGTCTAATTGATATTAATTTAAATTATTATTTTTTTTACGTTTTGTTTTAGGATGACTACAATGCTTGACCAGCTAGAAGTTCCGAGTTTTAGTCTACTTGATGACATTAACATTGATGCGATGCATTTCAAATATGCACTCCACCTTTTTATGGCACTTTTCACTATAAGAGGGCGCCTTGCAAACTGGTTCATCCAGCGTCAGGGAAGTGCTACTTTGTTGAAAGAGCTAGAAGGTGCTGCTTTTATTGAAATCACCAAATCAATCAACTCTTTACTCGCTTTAGCTGAATGCCAAATCGATCAATGTATTGAATGGGCGTTCATAGTGTGGTTTAGAGTGTTTGTTGTTAACGTCGAAGTGGCAAACGGAGAGCTGACCAGACTGGGAAAAGTAAATCGGCACAAAGCTAACATCAAAGGATTGTACAGCACAAACGTTGAATTTATCTCTTCAGCTGCAGAAATTTTAGCGACAATGATTGGACTAAGTGTAACGACAGAAGATGTAGTTGCACAGTCAAAACTTTATTATGAACAAAACTATGTGAAAGAAGTTCCTGTGCTAATGTACAAAAAAATCTCAAAGTTTTCTGATTTGCACACTGACATTACTCAAGAGAAAATATTACAGGCAAAACAAGAGTTTTTAAAACTAGCTGTACCTATCAAATGCATAAATGTAGCTGAACCAACTTCAGAAAATCAACTAATCAAAAAATTTTTAACTTCAGCTACAAGGATTAGATATTTTAATTTTGAAAACAAAACAAAATTTAATTGTGCTGAGGTTCATAATTATTTTAAGTTAAAAATTCCAATATTTCCAATGTGTCATATGTTTCTCAATATTTATTAGTTAAATAAATATTTTCTTTAAATATAATGAGTAAAAAATTGTTTTAGTGTAAAATACCTGTAATTAACACTAATTAACAGGTTAATTAATGAGTTTTATAATTACCTAGGCCCCGCCGCATCATTACCCAGCAGGTGCAGCCCGTTCAAGAGGACGTTCAAACCATCGTCGCCCGACAGGTTCAGGGTGGTGGATCCATTGGCGGCGGAGTTGGTGGTCTGGGCGGTCTTGGAGGTCTGGGCGGTTCCGGTGGCGGATGTAAGAAAACAAGTGTTATTTTACTAACAATTTATATACTAAACACAACTTCCCTCATTTTAGCTGGCCTCGGCGGTCTGGGAGGTGGTTTCGGCGGAAACAGTCTTGGAGGAGGTCTCGGCGGTGGTCTGGGCGGTGGCCTCGGAGGAGGTCTCGGTGGAGGATTTGGTGGTGGTCGTGGCGGTTTCGGTGGTGGTCTGGGCGGAAGCGGCGGCTACTAAACTCAGTAAACGCCAGTCTTCTCTTTTTAGTTGACCTACCTTCTATTTATTATTTATTAGTCCTCCTTTGAGTGATCATCTTGTTCACACTGGCAAATTAGTTTGTCAATCTATTTATTTATTATGTACAATAAAATCAATTTTTAAATTGCAATCAACTTTTTTAGTTTTATAATTTTGAGGTATCAATTGTTTTTGCAACTTGATTCGCTAATTTTAATTTATTGAAAAGCTTAGGTTATTGATTTGGAAGATTTGAAAGCTTTACTCTAACATTTATAATGTCATATCAAAATTACGCTTTTAAAAGGCAATTTCGCATTAGTATAACACACACTCACGTCCTTCCCTTAACTAGTTATAATTAAAAATTGAAGAGTCAAACATCAGTCGGGTATGCAGGAAAACGGAAAAGGTTTAGTAAAAGAGAGAGAAAGAGAAAGAGAGAGAGAGAAATGGGAAACGATGAAGAGACAGAAGTGATGCGCACAGGCAAGTTAAATCTCCAGCAATGGTTTCTGCAGACTGATCCTTATCGAGAGAAACAAATGCAGTGCCGTTGCTGTCGAACTGTATCACCTGCATTTACTACTGCCGTTACAGCTGCTGCCCACTCGGAAGCAAAGATGACAACTGCTTCATATATAAAGCGCATCACCGATACATCATTAGAGTTACTTCATTTCCGATCATCACAGAGGAGAACGTCTGATTTGAAAAAAACCATGTACACAAAGGTAATAATCGTATTAATAGCTTAGCCTGCTAAAAAATTGCATCTTTTGTTACAGACTTCATTGATCACCTTTCTAGTGGCTGGTTGTGCTGCCTTAGCGCAGGCCAACTACGGGGGCGGAGGATATGGAGGAGTTCCTGTTCTAGCTCTTGGTGGTGGTGGTGGTGGCTGCGGTGGAGGCTGTGGCGGCGGCGGTGCCCTAGTCGCCGGTGCGCCCCTTTTGCTGGCAGGCGGCGGCGGTGGTCTGGTGGCCTCCAGTGCCGCCGGTCCGCTGGCAGTGGTCAGCAGACACCGCATCAACTATGTTCCCACTGCCAGCGCCCCTGGCTTTGCTCGGGCGCAGAAGATCTTTGTGGACGCGCCGATGAGCCCAGTTCAGCTGGTGGTGAGGAGTTTCTCTGCGCCAGTGCACCTGCTGCACAAGCACATTCCATCGCGAGGCACCTACCGCGCTACGGCCAGTGTCGATGGACCCAGTGTTCATCGACATACAGTGACCAAACCAGTCATTCAGGAACTTGTCGAGGTAAGGCAAAAAGAATGGTTTGCCCATTTCCAAGCATACTAAAAACCCTCTTTATCATTATTTCAGCTAATCACTCCTCGCCGAGTGATCAGGCAACAGGTGCAGCCAGTTCAGGAAGATGTCCAGGTGAATGTCGCCCGAAACGTGGCAGGTGGTGGCGCCGTTCTTGCTGGCGGTGCTGGCGGTGCTGGTGGCCTGGTCGGCGGACTGAGCGCCGGTGGTCTTGTTGGTGGAGGTGGTGGAGCTGTTTTGGGCGGTGAAGGTCTGGTCGCTCTGGACGGTGGTGCAGGTCTGGGCGATGGTGGCTACGGCAGCGGTGGTGGACTTGTTGCACTTGGCGGAGAAGAAATTGATGCTGGTGGACTTTCTGGTGGTGTTGTCCTTGGTGGTGGTGGTAAATCCTCTATTGGTTACAACGGAGTTCCCGCAGACTACAAATAAAGTATTCCCTCATTAATCGCATGCTCATTTTTTTGAAACACATTTTGTGTTCATTTTTCCTGTATAGTTTCAATAAAAACCTTTTAAACTTGATATATTTTTTTTTGTTTTTCAATAGAAAAAATTGTGCTAAGTCGTCTTAAAAACACGTGCACCGAGATGCAATTAGTCGAGTGAAAGTGCTTAATCGATTTTTTGCAGCAAAAATTTAATGCATTTTCAATGACTCTATGTTGTCATTTTACTAGCTAAAAGTGTAATAAAAGTACAAGCACGAGGAAACCACTTCTAAAAAGTGTAATTCTATTTGTATCATTGATTGAAATAATTTTGCTAATTAATGAGTGACTTCTAAAAAGTCGAGCATGTTCCGGGT